TGTTGACCAGGATGGTCTTGATCTCTTGACCTCGTGATCCACCCGCCTCGGCCTCCCAAAGTGCTGGGATTACAGGCTTGAGCCACCGCGCCCGGCGAGGGGGAAATTTTACCAGAGTTCTGTAAACTTGAAAGTGTTTTTCGCTGGGCGCGGTGGCTCACGCCTGTAATCCTAGCACTTTAGGAGGCTGAGGCGGGCGGATCACCTGAGGTCAGGAGTTCAAGACCAGCCTGACCAATATGGTGAAACCCCGTCTTAAAAAAAAAAAAAAGTGTTTTCATTTCCTGTCCCCCCATTAGGGGTTACTCCTTTCATCTTAAGGAGGATATTCTGGGATCTCTCAGCCTCACAGCCCTGCCCACCAATAATCAGCAGGTGAGCCCTCTCTCCTAAGACCTCTAGATTTGCAAAAGGCAACCTGGAGGCAAGGAAACCCCCAGGTGTGAGTAGCCATTCAATTCTGGTGCTGTGGTAACTGAGTTCAAAAACAGTTTTGTTTCCTCTCCGTGAAATGAAGAAAACCTCACCAGACACCTCACTGGGTTCTGAGGCTCCAAAGAGCACATGTTGTTAGGCTTAGTTGGATTCCCTCCAGCCCTCTCCACCCATTTAAAGGCAGCTCCTTATCCTGGAGACAACGTGAAGATGTTCTCTTTATTTGTTTTTTTTAAAGACAGGGTCTCTCTCTCTGTTGACTAGGCTGGAGTGCAGTGGGGCGACCACAGCTCACTGCAGCCTCAACCTCCTGGGCTCAAAACAATCCTCCTGCCTCAGCGTCCAGAGCAGCTGGAACTACAAGCGCACGCCACTGCACTGGGACTATTATTACTTTGTTATTACGTTTGTTATTATTATAGAGACACGGGTGGGGGTGGTTTCACTATGTTGCCCAGGCTGGTCTCGAACTTATAGCTCAAGAGATCCTCCCGCCTCGGCATCCCAAAGTACTGGGATTACAGGCGCGCACCACCGCGCCCGGACGCAGAGGTTTTCTATGAGCCTCTGTAATGGCGTTCCCAAAGCTTGGTGCCATGCCTTGGTCAAGCCGGGTCGGTGGCTCAAGCCAGCCTCCAGCACCGTTAGCTGCCATCAGAACAATCAACTGTTCCCCTAATGCTGCGACGGCCCTTTCCTGCCAATAGTCGGCCCCTCGCCGGTCCCGAGGCCTCGCGAGAACACAACCGCTCCAGTTGAATACTCAGAGGGCTGCGCCTTTCCCGGCCTCAGAACAGCCCCATCCTTCCTCTTTCCCCGCCTTCCAGCCGCGTTCCGCTCTCGGATTGGCTGATTGAGCCGAGGCAGTTTTTTTTTTTTTCCTGGCCAGTAAGTGGTTCGACAACTGGTCCTTTTTTTGGCCCCTCCTGCGAAGCCCTCGGATTGGACGGCTGAGTCCGGCTACACGCGCCTCCACGGGTGCGCGGCCGGGCCAATCAGAAGGTTGGCGTATTTTACAAACTGGGGAAGTAGCTGCAGCCAGCAGTAGCTGAGAGTCAGGCGAAAAGCGGAGAAGGCTGGGTCGGCTCCGAGGGGCTCTTGAGAAGGTGAGGCACAGGGTTCTTGGTGAGAACGAGGGCTGCTGGGCTCAGAGGGAGGAGGGCAGTTCGGGACCCAAGGGCGAAAAAATAGGCTCGTGGTGTCTGGAGGTAGCACCCATAAGAGCGGTCTTGCAAGCGCCGGAGGCTTGTGGGAGCGTGGATTAGGGCAGAGGTATCAGGGATGGAGGACAGGTGCCCCGAGGACTGGTTGATCTTTGATCTCCGATTCTGCCTGCCTTCTTCTCCGTCTCAATTGTAGCCATCATGACCACCCTCCAAGCCACGAAGGATCCCCTCCTCCGGGGTGTATCTCCTACCCCTAGCAAGATTCCGGTACGCTCTCAGAGACGCACGCCTTTACCCACTGTTACATCGTGCGCCCTGGACCAGGAGAACCAAGATCCAAGGGTAAGAGGGGCCTAGTAGGGGAAGACGATAGTCACACCAATAATGTGCCCTAACTCTAAACCCCACCTTTTTGGCCCCCCTCCCTTCCCTAGAGATGGGTGCAGAAACCACCGCTCAATATTCAACACCACCACGTTGATTCAGCAGGCCCCAGGCCGAAAGCCAGGCACCAAGCAGAGACATCACAAAGATTGGTGGGGACCACTCAGCATCGAAACCCCTTGGAGGAGCTCAGGCCTAGCCCTGGAGGTCAAAATGTGGGGCCTGAGCCCCCTGCCCAGACAGGTACCTGTTGGAGCCCTGGGACCACAGCCTCCAAGGCTGACTAGGGGACTAGGAAGAGTAAAAGTGGGGTTTTGGGATTTTGCACTCACTCCTGCTTACTGTAACAGTCCTGGTCCCAGTTCCTGGAAAGCTCTTTGCTCTTAGAAGGCCTCCCTTTCCTCCAGCAAAATGTCATCTTGCAGGTGTGATGGCTTGTGCCTGTAATCACAGCTACTCAGAAGGCTGAAGCTGAAGGATCACCTGAGGCCAGGAGTTGGAGACCAGCCTGGGAGACAGAGGGAGATCCCATCTC